AATATTGCTTACTTATGATGTACATTTTTAGGGAAGTTATGCTGTTTTTTAAAAACTTTTTTCAGCATATATGCAGCGCCGATAACACGATAAGTGGAAAACCATTTTACCTTTTGGCTTGAAACTTACAAAACTGATGAATATTCATAATACGCAGGTCAAAGTTGAAAATCAGCATGATTGGGCAATTTTTATGGAAATTATTCTTTTTTTTTTTTTCAAATTTTTCAGCATTTTTATAACATGGATAATAAGATAAGTGTTAATTTTTTTCCTTTTGGATTGAAACTTACAGAACTGATGAATATTCATAATACGAAGGTCAAGTTAGAAATTTGGCTTGATTGGACTATTTATACAAATGTTATCCTGTTTTTTTTCCTTATTCAGCATATATGCAACACTGATAACACATTTTAAGGAAAACCAAGCAGCCATTTGTCTTGCAGCTCACAGGAGTGATTAGTCTAACTAGTATACAGATCAAGTTTGAAAATAAGCTTGATCAGTTAAGTTTTGATGAAGTTATTAGCCTTTTTGTATATAAGTGTTTTTTCTTCAGATTTAATTCTTAGGCATGTTGACAGTCTCATAATGGAACTAATTAGATATGTAAAAGTGTTGTTTTGTCATTTTCTGCTTCTTAACAATATTGTTAGTTGATTGTATGAAAATGACGGTAAACCTGTTATCGTGCATTGTGTAATAAAGTATCAAAATGGAAAGGAACTCATCATTGCAGTTTGTCAGATTCAATCATTCACTATGTTCAGAATCTGTGAATGGAGCAAATTGGACATTTAAAATTGTTCTATTGATATTTTTCCTATGTCAACAATTTTCCTAGTTGATCATTTAAAAATGACAGAAAATTGGTTATTTTGTTTTATGTAAAACAAGGCAGCAAAGCTGTCAAATGTACAGACAAAAAACAGAAAATAAGGATGCAAAAAATACAGAAAATGTGCAGAGCCTTGAGCGGATGGGAGTTAAAAGTCATTAGCTAAGTGATACCCAAGGGATATTAACAGACTGACCCTCTCAAAGGTCTTTCAGGCCCATAAGTCACATCTTAAGAAAAGCGCAAAACAATAATGCACAAAATAGGAGACTACCAATTCTGATGCAATAATACATTATGTTTTACTGCACAGTCTACATCTAATTTTATTTATGCACAACAGGTAACAATGATGAAAGTAAAAGCATAAGGCTTCAGGCCCATCAGAGTTCAAGTTTATACTTTGAAAGTGCCAGAATGAGAAAAATGAAAATTTCACACAATATGGCATAAATTCAATAGTAAATGATAACCCAATTGACCTGGCTTTCCAATTTGAACTGCATGTCAATCCTAAAAATCATACTTGTAAGTTAAAAATAATAATAAGTAACACAGTTTTCTTTTCATAATGTATGCAGTAGCAATGCAAAAATATTGTTGTCAATTTTGATGTAACATTACATAAAAAATTATAGAATAATTATCACTAATTTTTGATTAATTATAAATAGCATGGACATGTAGAAAATTTGATTACCATTCGTCTTCATGTCCATGGGAGCTCCGAGTCCCACAATGAATATGCCAAAAAGATAATGAATATTTCACTCAAATGTATAACTTCCAGAAAAAGAAGCCAATTAGACTGCTTTTCCAACTCATTCTGCATTTTAGTCCTGTGTTTCTTTTTTTAAGGTTTGACAGTCATAACACGGTTTTCCCATAATGGTCATCATGGCAGCAGCACCAAAAATTTTCTTCTATTTTGATGCAACATTACATAATGCTTAACAGCATAATGACCATCAATTCTTAATAATAGAATATTAGTAACATGGACATTCAGAAAACGTGACAAGCATCTGTGTCTGTACATAAAAATGTTTGAGTTGAACTTAGGGGAAAAATTATATGAAACTTACAATTAACAAAAGACCTTTACTAAAATTATTCAAAAACACTTTTCATCTTTGTATTATTGACATTTTATTTACAAGTATCAAAATAGTTTACAGGATAGAAAATACACTTCATAGAATTAAAATATAGAGACAGAAACTGTATAAAACATCTAGTACTTTGTTTTTTCATTACAAAAATTTTGTTACTTGAGATAAAAATTCATCATCAGATTACAACATTCGTAAAAATAGCTTGCACATCTAGTAAAATTACAATGGAAAAAGTTTGCATTTTTCTTGTGAAAAATAGGTTAACGTTATAGTAAAAGTATGACCATTGAAAATAAGCACAGTAACAATTTTAATGCAATTTAATACCAAATTTTCTGCCTTCCTTTTAAAACAGCTTGAGCAAATACATAACAGTTATCACAGATAACATAAATACCAAATCACATAAACATCTACCTAAACCTGTGACATTTCTAAAATCCATTCCGTGAAATAAATGCAATCAACATATTTGTTAACTCATTACTATGTAGAAGAATAATGGAAAATAAAGTAAAGCTTAAATCTATTATGGTCATACCCTGAAATTACAGAATGTAGTCAAAACATTTTGCTGTGGATACACTATAATGGTAAGATACTTTCTGTAACACGAGTGACATCATAATTCCTTTTTTTTTTTTTTGCTGAGGTACATTTTGGCTACACTGCATTTCTTTTTAATCCATAAACATTTACAGTTCCTGGTAAAGACCATTACAGTGGTACAGTGTAATATGTTAAAGGCATGCCTGTGTGTTATTCAATTTCTTATCATTTTAAAAGCATATAAAGTTGATATGAGCAATATTTGAAATTTGAAATGAAATACTGCAATTTGTTTCTGGTTGATAAAATAATATGTGTTGTTTGCTGTTAATTTGTTATAACATATGATTATTCTTGTAAATAAAAATTTATGAACAGCATTAAATTTGGTATCACATGTGAGACAAAAAAGAATGCTAACACATAACACATTTTCTCTGCAAATATCATTGAAAGAGAGGGTTTTTAGCTCCAAAATTAGTTAATTATACTGTATCATTTCAAAAGTAGTAATGATAATTAAGTGTGCAACTAGAGAAAAATATATCAATCATTAAACGAAAAAAATTAATAAAGAGAAAATTTTAAAAATTTCAATTTGAAAATAATGTTCTCAGTGAATTTATATAATAACCTGATACATTAGGTACTTTTTTCAGAGTTCAAAATAAATCCACAATTGGAATAAATATGTTACAGAAGTCTTCATTTTCTCAGTTGAACTATCAAATTCATGAACCAACGTCATTCATAATCCTTTATAAATAATCTTACTTCTGAATCAATATAAAAGCATATAAGCAGTATTTACTCTGTTCCATCAAAGTTAAATATCCCAAGGCTCAAGTGCTTAAGGCAGCTCAAAACAATCAATGTGTTTTAATAACTAAAGACTATTGTTTAAAATAATGCACTTAATTCATTACTTTGGTGTTAAATTGCAAACCACACCACAGAACTCAATCTGGCATCGATTGCCTGCTATCTAGTGATGTCATCAGGACTTAAACCAGTTTAAGTAAAATTATGAAGCTGAGCACACCCTAAGTCACTCAGCTTAACATAAATTAAACCAAGGTTAGGCTCTGAAGAGAAAGTCACTAAACAAGAACATCTGGGACTTGTCCCATGAAGACTTTATTATATAGCAACCTTTCATTAGTATCTTAGCACTTTGTCTATACATATAATCCCTGTTTTAAATACCCAGATGATTATAATACTGCAATGCTACTGGTTGGAAAATGATAGCATCATAGAGCTTGCCCTTTCTTTTCTCACCATTAAAGAGGGGTTTAGAATATGTAAACAATATCTGAGATAAATGAGCCCTGTTTGGTGACTGTGAA